GTTTCACCTTTTAAGTTTCATTACTGAAATAAATGAACTTTTGCACGATATTCTAATTTTTTGAGTTTCACCTGTATATACACAAACAAATCAAATGTTGTCATGGAATTTTCTCCAAATCAATTTAGTACTTCAAATATCTCAACGTTGAATAACTTCCAGCTTTTCTTTTCTAGCTTGCTCATATGCTTGTGGCTCAAGTCAAGACATTTGATAAACAGACCTTGATAGCTTTGGGGCAGCAGGCAATGGGGCTCACCACGGGTCAGATTTCAAATCTAACAGCACAAGACCTAGTAGATCACAAGGTTTTGGAATCACTCGGCAAGGTCAAAGACTGGAACAGAGGACAATCCCAGATTCTGGTAAACAAGATCCTGTTCAATTACAAGGTAAATCTTGTGACTTCCTATTTCTGATCTGTTAATATCAGTGTGTGTCACCAGTTTTCAACTGGTGTAATTGTGACTCAATAAGATATATTTTTTAATTTTAGTTTTGGAAGAAAAACCATAATGGAGAGAGGATTCCAGCTCACCTCAGATATACAAACCTTAATGTTTTCCCCTCCTGTCTCTAGAATAGTTTCTTGTCTGCCATCGCTCTCAATCTCCCACTAATGCATGCCCTGCCAGGGCACCCACAGGAAAGTTTTAAAAAGACAAAATTGCAATCACAGTTACGATCTTAACTTTTTAAATTTCCCTGTGGAGCCCAGCACCCTGCTTTTTATGTACCATTACGGCTTACAAAAGCATATCTCCAAAGGTGACACTAAGATCTGAATAGATCTTAACTTTTCTAATGCTGGGAAAGGAAAAGAAAATGTAGGAAAATGTCTCTGGTAATTGTACTGTGCAAAAAGAGGCCTTCTGTGTATTCATTCTGCCTATTCACAATACCGCCACCTGATGAAAGAAGAGATAAAGAAGGAAGCAAGAGGGTGAGAGAAGAGAAGGAGATGAAGTGACATGGTCATCTTCTGAAATGTGTTTCCATTTTGTCTACTGAGACAAAGGAAAAGGAAAAGTAGCAAGGGAAACAATTAGCCTCTTGGAATCTCCTCTTCTTTCAGGGCTCTGGACAGAGGGGATCAGAGTTAGAAGTTGGGTAATGGCTAGGGTGGTTGACACCAATAGAGGGCATTTCACTTCCACCCCCTCAAATCTAGGCAAATCCTAGGCAGAGGTGATTTAAGTCTTGACCATCTGCCTCCTTCTTCCTGCAGCTAGACACAGTGGAGAAATTTGAGCATCTCGGTACCCTGGCAGAAGGCTTGCCGGGTAACAGTTTTGACACCATGGTAGCCAGTTCCATAGTTAAGCTGGCCAAGAATGTGAGCTTTCAGAGAGCTTTCAGAAAAAGTCCCAATCATGTGAAGAAGGCCTTTGTCAGCAAGGTAAGAGGAGAAAAGTGACGATAAGAAATGTTGGGAAAAGGGTGGATCCTGTGGTGAAATCTAAAGATTTTCCCTACAAGTTCTGTGGGTGAGGCTTGGTGGTCATGTGACTGGGTGGGCATGGCAAAGTCACCCTCACTTCTTTGCCCTTATGACCTACAAAAAGAAAACGTACCAATTATTTCAGGGCGTTTAATACTTAAATAAGAATAATGAAGAATATTTATATAAGAATACTTAACGTAAGAGCAATAAAAGTGTTGTCTTCGATGCACCAATGATAATAATGACCTACAAAAATGTATTATCTGATGGTTGTTGTGACAGTTTTGGTTTCTTGGCCAAGAAACCGACCAAAGTTTGTTGTCTTTTCATTCTTGCTGGTAAAGGCTGCTACTACAAAAGGAAGAAAAAGAGCTTTGTTAGCTGAGGAGCAGTGATGGGAGCAATGCAAAAGCACACAAAATACAAAACATTAGTTTTAACACAAAAACAACACAATGCAGAAGCAGCTGCACCTCACACAAAAGGGCCCCTGCCACAAGCAGGAAACTCACAGAGCCACAAAGAGCTCAAAAACCAACTTTCACACTTAACAAAAACACAATGCCATTATGCAACTCTCACACAATGTAAAAGCACACAAAATGTCCCCTACAACAAGCAGGAAACTCACAGTCACAGAGAACTCACAAAACCAACTGTTCACAAGCACAAAATGTCACATACAGCTTGGTGTGATTTTGTGTGTTTGTGTACTGAGTATGAAACATTAAAGAAACACACAAAAACTCAGAAAGCTGCACAAATCTAAAACTATAAAAGCAGCTAAGACTTTTTAATTTTAAATGACTATTATTTCCTAAAAAAAAATTCCTAAAAAAACCCCAAGTAACCTTTTTTTTAAAGTAACCCCCCTCCCCTTACTATTGAAGGCACAAGGCAGGCGGCAGGCAGGCAGGCAGATTCAGTTGCTAGCCGATGAGATGGATTGCAGGCTGCAGCCGAGGGATTTCAGAAGCAACAGGCGAACAGCAAGGCAGGCATTCTGCCTCCAACAGCTCGGGATTCGGTCTGAAAAGAGAAGCTAAGCAAGCTGGAGGCTGGCGGGAAAAAGCTAGTAGTTCGCCAGGCAGGCTTAGCCAGACCAGGCAGTGGTGAGGGCGGGGCTACCAGGGATTTTTACCCCTGATTCGGAGAACCACGGTCTACCGTCCCTACCGGTTCGGGCAAACCGGCCCGTACTGGGAGGATTTCACCCCTGGGTGGGTCCCTTTAGGATTGCTCAGATAAATGAATATAAGAGCCGAGGTGGCGCAGTGGTTAGGGTGCTGTACTGCAGGCCACTTTAGCTGACTGTGATCTGCAGTTCAGCGGTTCAAATCTCACCGG